GGGGGTTTAAGTGGAGAGAAAATGTTTTGAGAATGATGTACAAATGCGTTTTACACAATTGATGTGTGTATGGATTGTGATAACAGTTGTATGAGCCCCTAATAAAATGTTTAAAAAGAAAAAGAAAAATATCTGAATTACTTTTTCACTAATTAGTATCTTTTCTATCAGGGGAATAAAGAAAAAGTTACTTTAAATTTTTTGTTCTGCCATATCTCTTTAGAAAACTTAGATACGCAGCTCAGCATTCACATTTTTACTGATGTTTCTCATGATTTGCAATTATATTCCTTTTGTGCCGTAAACTTACTCAATATGCTACAGTGTTTGCTGACTAAATCTGACTGGAAACTTGGCCTTCCCTCTGAAGTGTCTTTCAGCACTATTTTTAATCCTTTCATAACAAAGTAGCCTAAAACTTCCAGACTGTCCAAATCAGACTTCTGAGCCACCAGGAGGAGCAAGAGTTGACTTGGTTGGTTTAGGGTCAGAAAAAAATGTGTGGCACATCTAAGGTGCTTAACGAATAAACAATAAATGAATAAACAATCTTCTTGCTGAAGATACAGCCATTGAAAACCCTAGAACTTTCCATTCTATTCTGGCACACATGGGGTCACCATGAGTCAAAATCAATTCAATGACAGCTGGCCTAGTAGTCCCTGGGTGCCAAATGGTTAGGCTCTTGGTTAGGAACTCTGAAGTTGGTGGTTTGAATCCACCCAGTTACCTCAGAAGATGTCTACTTTCAAAGGAACGCAGCAGCCAAAGCTCAAAGGAAAGTAGTTCGACTCTGAAACATGGGGGGAGTCTCTCCTTTAGCCACCAGGAGGTTGCCAGTCTTCTGTAACATCAAGGGAAATACTTTTTGTTCATTTGCTGTATGTTTTTATTTTTATTTTTTTTCAGACTCAAGGTCAGACACGTTCAACCTTCACTGCTTCTGCAGCAACTTGAAGGCAATGCATTTATGCATACAGTGTTTTTTAAAGATATTTTTACTCTTTCATTATTTCTATTTCTGATTCATCTATTTATTTTATACCTATTATTTTACATTGACTTTGTAGTTTATATATTATTTGCACACTCTGTAATATTAACAACATGTTTGTGTGGAATCAGCTCACTCTTGCTCTTGGTGGTTTGTTTCTTTTGTGGTTTGGGATTTTTTTTTTAATCATAGATTTATCTTCAGTGAGAATTTTATTTCCTTTGGGAGTTCCATACACCCTTTGTGTGGAGGTAGTTTTACCTTTATGACCTGGGCTGCAAGTTTGATAAATTCTGATACACTAGTGTTTAGATTAATTTCTTTAACCAGAGGCCTACATAAAGGAAATCATGGAATTTAAATTCTACAACTCCCTATAACCCAGGACTAAATGGACTATATGTTCTCTTTCTTTCCTATTTCAATACATAGGAAAATATATTTCTTTTTTTCTAGCTTTTTCTTTCTGTCTCTCTCTTTGTTTTCGTTTTTTTTGTTTGTTTGTTTTTGAAACTGCCAGTTACTCTTCAGGAGCACCATGAGATTTTCATCTCCTGTAGAATTACAGTCTTGGAAACCCACAGGGAAAAGTCTACCCTGTCCTGGAAGGTGACTGTGAATCCTAACTGACTCTATGGCGGTGAGTGAGGTGATTTAACGACATGCAAATAATTACATTGGACAAGAGCTATGCAAAAGGTAGTCCCTGAAGTTTAAACTATTTGAAGGGCTTCCCATTTCAAGTAAAAATCAGTAAATAAAACAACAACAAAAAAACGAAAACAGCCCCCGCCCGGCCCGGGGCCACCGGCGGCGCAGGGCTCACCTTTGTTTCCTTGACCTTTTGGTCTCTGCGGGCCACAGAAATGTCGCCGAGCAGCAGGTTGTCCGAAGAAGGCATGGAAAAGGAAAAGACCAATTAAAGCTGGGCCCGAGAGAAAAGAGAGGAGCAAGCCTGCTGGAGAGGCGTCAGGAATGGTGGT